CTATAACTGTATTTATATTCTTCTAGTTTGAGGGTAGAATCCAAGAAATACACACAGTTAGGCTAGCACTTACTAAAAACCTTTATATTTCGCATGGCTAACATAATGCCTGGCACTGAATAAGCGCTCACTACACTTTTGTCCAGTCATAACAAAAATTAATAGTTGTGGCCTGGCACATGCACAATTTGGCAGGTGCTAGGCAGGCTCTCTGCAAAAAACACTATTTACTTAAAACATTTATATGAAATATCATAATTCCCTTTAGGTTAATGCATTCTGAGTTCTGAATATAACCTTTTAAAATGTAAATAAGGCCTAAAAAATAATATATGAGACTCTGTCATAAAATCCCTAATGCAAAGTAATTTATCAGGATTTTTCTCTAAAAACACGGAGTAAAGAGTCATGTCTAAATTCATCAAATTATATACATCAAACCTGTGCAGGGTTTTTTTTTGGGGGGGGGGAGGGGAGATAGAGAAGCAGAAAGAGGAGGGAAGGGAAAGGGGGAATAATTTTGTGGTAAAAAGTACTATTTCAAGATAAATATGCTAGTTGGGCAGGGAAATGAGAATACATTGGAAACTACTCAAAAATAATTCTTCCCACTTTATAATGTGAACCATGAGAAAGAAAATACCTACTAAAAAGGGCCCTCAGTAGTTTAACTGGGTTCAAATTTAAAAAATCAGAGCCCAGCAGTCATTTCCACATAGGGGCCTCTCATACAAATCACACTTCCGGGGGAGTCCTGCACTAAGTTGCCTCCTTCCAGGACTGAACTGCCTGCCTGCGTGGGTTCCTGCCACCTGAGCCAGCCCTTAAAACGGAGTTCCTGGAATATCACTTAAACCAGTAAGACTGAAGCTTTCCCCACCCACAATCAGAGCTGTGCACCTCTATCTCCCATCGACATCTTCACCAACCAATCAGAGCAGCTCTATTCTGACCTATCAGGGCAGTGCTTTTTGGACCAATCAAACTGGGAGGATTTGGGGTCCTCATTTGCTTGAGGACAGACCAATCAGGGACCAGGGATGGGGACTTCTATATAAGTCAGCTCCCCTGTGGCTTTGAGAGCAGTTTCCTTTTCCACCACAGATTAAAGACTGTGTGTCCCAGGCTGTAGCTGAAACACCAAAGACATCTTGCCAGAGAAGAGCAGGAAGGGAGGAGCAGGGCATAGCAGGCCTGAGTGGACTGGACAGGAGCAGAGTGCAGTGGTCTAGCCAAAGAGGGGCCTGGCCCCAGGGCTGCCTGGCCCTAGCGCCCGCCAGCCATGCTATTTCACAGCTGGGCTTCTTCATAATTGAGCTGTAACACTACCGAGCTGTTCCACACCCAAGCTGTTCTCACAGCTGTTGTGTATAATTGAACTGTTTGCACTGAATAAAGTTTCCTTCTTCACTGCACCCAAAATTAAGGATCCCTGTTGATGTTGAATTTATTCCTACAACCATGGGTTGACAATAATTTTCTAGGATGTAATAAACCTCTAATAATATTCTCTTTATAGTCAAAGGCAAATGAAATCTGTCCATCTACCTTGCGTGAAAACATAAATGACTCCACCGTAATCTGCCATCTTGACATCTGGGTAAATGAGGATCCTTGACCCTCTTGGCTTCCCCCAGGTGACTGACAGAATATGTACACAGAACTCTGGGCTGAACACAGGATTTCCAGTAGTTATCTCTCCAGGGCAAGTTGCCTTCAATGCTGTCTCTCTCTTAACTCGTCTGTCTCTGGCACCAGAGCTTCCCAGCACCTGATACCTTTGGTCATCAGAGCATTCTCATTGCTTCAGAGATATAAGGACAAGGTCTGAGGGATGGAAACTGTGGGGATCCATTTCAACTTCTTACTGTCCAGGACTGTGTTTCTGTACATAAGTCCTCTATTAAAATCTTTAACCTGCAGGCTGGACTTGTCTGCTCCATTCTTTGGTCTCTCAGCTCTGTCATGAAACATTTGAGGGCCACATTTATATACACAGCTGTCTTCCAAAGTACAATTAATTAACTGTAGCACTACCTTCAATAACTGCCGAAATAGAATATTAATTTATAATTTATACTCTCCTGATTCCAAAAAGGATACGAAGTAACTTATAATACTTAAAACATAGGTCGAACATGACAATTAAAAGGAGTTTTAAAAATGAGACTGGGGATAACTGAATATTCCAAGAACTTATCAGATAAAAGGATTGTAATAAGTACCATATTTTAGTTTTAAACTTTTTGGCAACTTCTGAAGAACTGGAAAGAAACTTTGCTTAAATGTTTTCCTAGTTTAAGCAATCAAGATCATTCACACCTTAAAGTATGTTAGTCAATCTTTCACAGTGTCTATTGAAGAGAAAAATACCCCATTTCTTCCTCAAGTACTGGAAGAGAATACAGTAAAGAAAATATTACTTAAGGTTTGTTTAGACTCCAGATTCCATTTGAAATTCTTATTAAAACTGATGTGCCAATCTTTCTGAAGTCAGTCACTATTTATTTAAAAATACATTCTCTGTACATGTGGTCATATGCTTTACATAAAATTTACAGAAGTTATTTTAACCTAAGTTCAAAGATTATGGTCATCAAAACAGAAATGGCTAAGCATGAAAAGAAATATCACTGATCCATCTGAAATGAAAAAGAACCACTAAATTACTTTTGTTATATGTATTCTACAGGGCTGAATTACACTTTAGAACTACTTCTTCTTAGATAAAAAATAAAATCTGGGAACATAAGGTCCTGAAATGCAATGACTTACTTGAGACTTTCACTAATATTTGCCATAATGGCAATTTTGTAGCATGACAACCATCTTTTTTTTTAAACTTTATTTTTTATTGTTGACACTATTACAAATGCTTCTATTCCCCCAAACTTTGCCCACCTTCCCCGCCCTTCTCCCCTCAGCCATCACCACACACAGTTGTCTGTGTTTATGGGTTATGCATATATGTTTTTGGCTAATCCCTTAACCTTAAAATGGTGGCACAACAACCATCTTAAAGTTATAAACCTTAACTATCATATTTTGAATGCACTAAGTTCACTATTTATGACATGGTAAGAATATGGAGAAACAGTTGTTAAGAATAGCAAGCTACATACTAAAATAAAAATTTTATCTTGACCAATAAGGCCTGAAATCAATGTGAGAAAAAGTCTATAGCTAGCACCTTCTGTCTTGAGGGGGTGGCAAAAAGAAGAGAAAGGCAAAAAGAAGTACCTTATAAAATTCAACAATGACAGATTTGACAAATAAATAGAATTGACTCCAAAGACAAAAGAAGTCATACTTTAATTTCTTAATCACAAAGACAGAAAGAAAATGAGAGCTGACAGTCAGATTTTAAAATATATTTAACCTACGATATGAAAAATTAGAAAAAATAAAATTGATAAAAATATTATAACACATAGAAATTAAAATTATATAGTTGATGTGTAGTTTATATAGATCTATGTATGATGTTTTGAATAACATTTGAAAATTCTGTCAAAATTTTAGTTTATTTTTCTCAACATATATTGTAATACTAAATAAAGAGCATACCATACTTCAGTGGCTAAAGAGGAAAACTAAGGCTATGGATTACATCAAATAGAACTAATTTTAACTGAAATATAAAAAATTCAGCACATATAAAATACATATATTTTAGCAGTATCAGCTCAAAGTGATAAAAGCCTTTATTGCTTTTATCACTTAATGTACGTTATAACTTAAGATTTCCATAAATAGTGGGAAAAACTTTTGACAGAGGAAAACATTTATAAGTAAATTAGTCTATATAACAGAAAAGGAATAAATTACTAGAAATATTCAACTTTATATATCATTTAGTTACAGAAATCATCCTGTCACTTAACAGCTCTAATCCTAGTTCAGTTAATCTTTCTAAAGATTCAAATTTATTTGTAAATGGAAATAACTCTACCTACCTCACAAGCAATGAGATAATGTATGCAAAGGACTATATTGTATCTTGCACGTACGTAACTTAAGTGTTTATTATTATTTTATTATATTCTCTTATTCAAAATATGACCACTAAATGTAAAGTACAGCACAGGGAATATAGTCAATAATATAATAACTATGGTGTCAGATGGGTACTAGACTTATCCGAGGGATCACTTTTTAAGTTATAGAAATGTCTATAAATTACTATGTTGTACAACTAAAACTAATATAATACTGTATGTCATAATAACTGAAAACACATTTTTTAAATGACCACTCAAATTGTCAAATAGATTGTGTTCTGCACTTCCAGGGACTGTGTTTCATTTTTAATTTTTATCACATTTGGAAAGCCAATCATTATCATAATTGGCTATGAATCATGTTATGGAAAATATAAAGAATCTTTCTTAAAATATGTTCTTTAAGCCAGAAGGCTTGTTAATTTAAAGAAAAACAAACAACAACAACCAAACATCTTCTACCACATGAAGACATGAAGAAGAAAGTCTCCTTGACTGATCCAGTGTAAGTTCAGTGACATTTAATAAGTGGTGATTCTTTTTTAATCAGGTAAAGTTTTCTTTTTTTCCTTTCTAAACCCTCGCCTGAGGATATGTTTATTGACTTTAGAGAGAGAAGAAGGGGAAGAGGGATGAGAGAGAGAGAGAGAACATTGATTGGTTACCTCCCATACATGTTCTGACTGCTGATCAAACTTGCACCCTGGGTATGTGCCCTGACAGGGAATCAAACCCGCGACCTTTTAGTGTACGGCTCAGGGGTATCCAACCCACGGCCCAGGATGGCTATGGATGCTGCCCAACACAAAATTGTAAATTTACTTCTTTTTTGTTCATCAGTTTTGGTTAGTGTGTGGCCAAAGATGACAACTTTTCTTCCTGTGTGGCCCAGGGATGTCAAAAGGTTGGACACCCCTGGTATGGGATGACTCTCCAAAGGAGCCACCTGGCTAAAGCAATCGTGTAATGTTTTAAAGATAAGCCATAGACTCAACTTACCTGATGGAGGTCATTTCCTAATGCATACTCTGCAAAGTAGCCTGGAGCAGCAGACGAGGCTCTGATGGCCTGCCACATTTTGTACTGACAGCCTCCCAAATAGTGAGAATTGACTCCAGGAAAATGACCATAGTTTCTGAACACAAAAGCTTTTGGTGTTATCCCTCTGTTTACTATGGTACTTACTGCAGCTACCTAGTAAATTAAAAAGGGAACAATACCCACTGTAAGCAGCAATATTTGGGACTTGTAAAAATTAAATACTATTTAGTAGTATAAATGAAAAACTTACAACTCTACCCATCAAGATAAATGTAAAAAAAAATATAATGTTAAGCAATGGGAACCCGATCTTTTTAAATATGTATTTCTTAATAAAGAAGTAGATACAAGGACTGAGATAATTTTAAGAAATATAAGAGAATAATAAAAAAAGATATTTTTGACTACATGATTTGACAGATATTTAAGAAGACATTCAAGGCACACATTTGCATATCTTTATGTAATAACTGATACAGCAACAGTAGCAACAAATAAAAACTACCTAAAGATAAACTGTTTTCATAATATCATTTACTAATTACTTTTGTTTTTAAACTCTTTGAAAACATTATGACTTTTAACAACTGAAACTCAGACTACATAAACTCCCAAGACTTTCTGATAATAGTTAATAACTGGCAGCTGGGTAATTATTTTTATTAAAAAACTAATGTTCATTACCCTGGGTCTCAGATTTTAAAGATGTCAACTGAATTTATGTGCTATAGTTATTAATGATCTGAAATATAAAGTTAAACAATGAAAGGTATTGAGAAGGCCAAAGCTGTTAAGAGTCCTGTGCCAGCCCTGACAGAGGTCTGTTTGCTTTGCTCTCGTACAAACTAAAGGCCATACCCCAAGTTCCTATGAGTGATCCAAGTGCAGCCCTAGGCAACTATGAATTAAAGTTGGCCACATACTATGATACAGAATATCTTTCGATCAGTTGGTATATAGACAGGCTGAATCAAGGAATATATGGGTGACTTCCATTTATCATGTGTGAATTACTATTCAAGGTGCCCAAAACTCACCCATACCCACTCTATTCTTAACTATTTAAAGCTGGCAATTCCCATAATTTAAAAACAAACAAGAAGTCCTAACGATACAGGGAACAAACAAGAGGTATATAGAGCATCATAGGGTCCTCTCCAAAAGAACGATATGGCTCTCAGTATAATGGCTTCTAAGGCCCTGAATGGTCTAATCCACCTACCACTCCAGCCTCATTTCACAAGTTGCCCTTGGATCCGCAGGCTCTAGTCTTCAGGAACTCCTCCAGTTCCTGCATCTCTCCCGAGTTCCTCCTGCAGAGATCATTCCCTTTGCCAGGCATACTCCTACTCATCAGCCTTCACACACTGAGATCTCAAATCTCATTTCCTTGGAGTAGCCTTCCCTCATGTCCCTGTAAATATATGCTTTCAGAGAACTGTTTTTATGCTCCTTAACAATTATTTCAGGGAAACTTTATCTCATTTGTGTGATTATTTAGTTAATACTACTTTGCCCTACTGGATTATAAACTCTATGTCTGCATTTACTCACTAATGTATCCAAAGTGCCCAGCACCATTCTGGCACATTGGGTGCATAATTAATACCCAAAGAATCAATGAAAATATATATAAACAGGAGTGAAAGACCAATAGAGCAAGCTGTATTTGATTTTTCATTACTTTAGTGTATAATCTAAAAATAAATATAAGCTGCATAGAATTCCTAGATGCAGAAATCCTATTCTTTAATCGAATAACAAGTATTATCAAAGAACACAGAACTCAAGCAATACTCAGTACATTGTGTTTCAAACAAAATAAAGAGAAGACACGCTGAGACTTATTCTAATAATAACATTTTTAAAATTAGGATTCCATGTGTGTATTAATATGGGGGTGTGTGTGTGTGCGTGTGTGTGTGTATCTCCCTTTCTCTCTCTCTCTCTCTAAGGGGCATATATAATTTCTAAGAGAGAAAATGCCACAATTTTTCTTAATCACTGGATTTGATTAACCCTTATGATAATTCTTCTTTATCTCTAATCTCAGTCTTTCATGTTCTTAAAACTTTTATTATACTTTTACTATATACAGAAGAAGTCTAATGATCACATCATATATTTTCAGAGAATGACTAAATAAATAAGGAATCAATATAATCTATTAAAAGAGGTTCCTAGAATTTTTTCCTTAAAGGGTCTTCAAGATAAGTATTTTCAACTCATATTCAACTCTAACTAGGTGTTATATACTCTAAACTTACCTTAGGACATGTGGGATTTCTTGCTGTTTCAATCATTAGTGAAGATCCCATTCTATCCCTTTATTAAAGGAGAAGAAATAAATTATATCAAAATAATTTTATCTCCTAATATAAGGGAACATAAACTATGCAATTATTGTTTGCCCATGGCTTTGTCAAAGTGCTATGAGAGACCGGAATTTTTTAAAAAAGGTGTAAGACTCTCCTCCAGGAGGCTTATCATCCAATTAACGCACATGAAACAATATTGGTTATTTATTAATCTCTGATACAAACTACAAGTACCTATGGTTCTGGGGGTGGGGGGGTAGGGGAGGATTATATAGGCTGCAGTATCTAGGAAAGATACATGGAAGTGTAGCTTGAAAAGGACCAAAACATGGCAAGGTAACACATGCAAGGTCAGGACATAAACAGGGGAAAGGCACAGATGCAGAATCAATCTGTTGTTTTCAGGGCCCTTCTGACAGAATAAAGAGCTATGTTGAGATAACAGTGCAGAACGGGTAAGCTAGTTACAGAGGAATCCAAACACCAGATCAAGGACACTTAGACTCTAAACTTCTAAAGCAATACAAAGCTAATGTCACCCCCTAAAACATGTTTTTTAAGTCACCTGAGTTGGCATTTGAATTACTATAACATTATAGAAATTGCCCTTGGGCAGCAATTTTTACAATTGCATTACAGGGGAATTTTATTTCAGTGTAGTGTTTTTCCTGACTTAAAATCGTCTTTTCCCCCCTGTATTGAATATAAAGACTATGCTTTTTACCAACTTGCTTCAATTAGAGAAAACATTTTGCTAATGACTTTTTTTTTCCCCCAGATTATACTCATGTCTCTCAACTAGAATGTTAGTGAATTCACCTAAGGGTAGTACTGACAAATTTTGTAGTAATCTACCTCTCACAAACTTTTAAAAATATCAATGTAAAATTCTTTCTAAAACAGAAAAAACCTTTGTCTTTCCCAACCTGACCTATATTTCTTCTGCATCAAGATCAATGCAATTTTATTCTTCTACACGTCTTGCACATTATCTTTCCCAGAATTCTTGCTGTAAAACTGGGGCAGAGATCCTGGGAGCATGCTGCTTTCACACTTTAAGCACAGTTTCCATTTACTTTTTGTTTAAACTTTGATTTTATTAACAGAACCAAAATGTGTTTGAGAATTAAGTTATAAATATAAATTCAATGAGAAAGGAACATTGTTTATTTCAGAGATGTCAAAATATTTTTTTAAAAAAAACTCAACATTTTCAGACTCTGCTGATGCTATAATTGTCCCTAAAATAACACAAAATCATTTTTACAGAAGAAAAAAACCTATAAAAATGCTCTCGATAAACAATGAGAGAAAAAAAGACAAAGCCAGAGAGCAGGTGTGGTAGATTATAATAATAATGACCCCCAATGAATTACACTTCCTGATATTCATATCCCTGTACATGGTCCCTTCCCAACCTAGACCCTGGGTTTGAATCGCTTTGGTTAGCAGGACATTGGCAAACATGCTGTAGCAAAACGTTTTCATTCCTACAATCTCTACTGATAATTTTAAACTTGGTCTGTGTTAACTAAAAGTTAAAACATACACTGCAAAGTGGAGAAGGATTTGTTTTAATGAACCCAATGATAGATTTTATTACTAAGTTTAAACTATTAACTGTTTAACAATTCTAGACTTGTAGCTTTTTTCCTTTTATTTCTATGCTGCACTAGTATACTACATAGCAACTGCACTGTGTGGTATTACAATACAGACTGGGAATATTGTTATGGATGTAATGTCTATTAGAGTTTGTGATAGTAATTCTCTCTTCTCAGTGATTTAAATGTGATCAAGCCTCCTATACTTTGTCATAAAAAGTGGGTTTTTCAGGCAGCTATTTTAGTGCATATCAAAAAGAATTTATGGTGTATTACTGTTGATTCACTTTGAATTAAAAAATATGTATATTGTAGCAAAAACAAATTGAAATAAAATAAGGCTTGGTAAGTATTTTTGCACGGGGTCTTGCCTTCTTGAAACTCTGAGGCCACCACTGTAAGAGTCCAGGATGAGAGTGACCATGTGGAGAGAGAGACCAGCTGTCCCAACCATCTCAGCTGAGCAGCTGACAGCTGACAGCCAACAGCCATGTGAGTTTCGAGAACAGAAGAAACACGCTCAAACCACAGAAGCATGAAACTAAATCAATGCCATTTTAAAACACCAAGTTTTAGAGTGTTTTGTTTTACAGCAAAGGTTGAGTGGAAAAGTTGAAAAAGGAAAAAAACAACTGATCACACTTAGAAAGTTTATCAGTGATGTGATTAGAAATAAAAAAATCTTTGAGGAAGCATCAGTTAAATAGTAATAAGCAAACAATGAAAATATTCTAATGAGGAACAAAAAAAAAAAAAAAAAGGAAAAACATTCCACAGCACAGAGGCTGGTTTTACAATAAATTTTCAAATATTCAATAAAATTGTTTTTACCAGTACTACGATTTTATGAGAATACAAAACTTTTTTTTAACAGACACAAATGAAGACCCCAAAATAAGCAATGAACAACATTAATGAGTGGTAAGATCACTCAACTGGGAAGATGTCATTATTCCAAAAATAAGTTTACATTTCATGTAATTTAAATCAAAATATAAGTGGGATTTTTAAAAAATAAGTAAGAGTAACCCAAGATTCTCTCTGAAGATAAAATGAAAATAGAGAACAGATTTATGAAAATCAATATAAAAACAATAACTAAATAATGAATTTGGACTAAAAGTGTTAAAATCAACTAAAAGAACCAAAACCTTGAACACAGACTCTAATGTAGATAAGAATTTAAAATATGATTAATTGGTGTTTCAAATCAGTGGAAAAAAAGAACGAAACAAATGCTTGGTAATAGGTACAGAGATGTTTGAATTAACACTGGAGTAAAACGTTAACTCTGATCCCCTTACAATATACATCTAAATAAATCTCAGATGACAAGAATTAAAAACAAAATAATTAAATCTTAGGACTAGAAAATAATATAAAGATGTACTTCATTTTAATGTAAAAATACCTTTCTAAACATGAAAGCAAAGTTAAAAAAAGATTTGACTAAAGATTTTAAATTCCTCTAACATTAAAAAAATATTGTTAATTAAAAAACACAATCACCATATAAATGTTTAATATATTTACAATATAGTGAGGAATGCCCTGGTAGGAAATGAGGAAATTTTATGCCCTTGAAATGTGTGTGTGTTTTATATATATATAAAAAAAAAATCAAAACAAAAAAATTGTTCCAACTCATCAATAGTCAAAGTGATGCAAATTTGAAACATCAGTTCAAAAATCTCTCAAATGATGATTTTAAAATTAAAATGTTTGGTAAAATGGAAAAAAATTGATGCTGGCAGGTGAATAAATTGGGCCAACTGTTTTAAAAAACAATTCATACATATATATTATATTTATATATAATATATAGATCTCTCGTATATCTATTTTTAAAACATGTATATTTTCTGTCTGAAAAGTTCACTCTAGAAATTTACCTTAAAGATATAATCCAAGATTTTAGTAGAGATATAGGAGTTCATTTAAACTTCATTTTAAACTGCAAATATTTCTTAACTATGCTCCTTTTCCAATAGGGAACTTGTTAAATAAAAACTAGTACATCCATACAATAGGACAGTGATAAACCATTAAAACATGCCTCAGAAAACAATGACGTAAGAAACTGTTCATGATAAAATGCTAAGGTAAAAATGCAGGATCAAAATTAAATATTCATTATCACACAACTTTTGTGAAGGGTATTAAGCACATGCATATTCAGAACCCCATACGTACATACACTTATTTATCTGTAAGAAATTCTTAAAAAGAAAAGTACATCGTTATGTCAATAGTGTAATTATAAGTTATTTTCATTGTTTTCTTTATAATATTAATAGTGTGATTATATATTATTTTCATTTTCTTTATATGTTCTCTATTTCCTATATGATTATTTTAAAAATACATCAGCACTGGTCCAATTATTATGCATCTTATAAACTGACCTGTATAGCAAGGTCTGGAGCTCTAAGTATTAAGACTGTGGATAATTTCAGTTTCTATTTAATGCTTCTACTTTTGTAAAGTGGTTATAATGGCTTTGTTGTGCTTTGAAAAAAATGTTAAAAATTAATGTTTTAGAAGAATATCTGTTAATGACTTCTGAGGAAGACTAATTTGGTAAATAAAAACAATTGGATGCAGATGTGGTCTATATACAGCATGGTCTCAATTTTTAAAAAGCAATCGCAACTTTTACGTGCAAATCTCACACATATGACACCAACAAAATAGTGACTACAACAGACTCACCAAAATATTAATAGTGATTATCTCTAACTAGTGGGATCAATAATTTAATATTCTCTCTTATATTTTTCAGCATTTTTCTAATTATAATATACACTATTACCCAAATAATCAAAATGTTTTTAAAAAGTATAACTTACTTAAGAATCTTTTCCCATGTTTGACTGTCATAAAATGCATGGCTCCAACTCATTTTGACTGTTCCAACGATGACATTTTGGGAAAACACATCTGTTCCTAATTTTCGATAAAGTTCCTCACATTCATCCAGGGGCATATGAAATAATCCCAACATGAAAGCTAATATAGCACCTGAAAGAAAAAGTCTTTAGTTTTTGTCAGTGTTGATATTACAGTACTTTTATAAAATCTCCCGAATCATAGTCTTGGTTAAAGCTCTACTTTTGATACTTCTAAATTGTGTCACCTGGGACAAATCACTTAACCTCTCAGAGTACTAATTTTTTCATTTATGAAGTAAGGGTAATTACAACTAAAATTTATAAGGATTTTATATTGGGATAACACATGTAAAGGGCTTTATTTACTAGGCCTCAATAAGGATACATAAATGGCAACCGATGATGATGACAACAATTTAAAAATATATAAAAATGTGTCATTTTACCTTACATTAAATCATATATAATTAAGATACTGTGGTAGGGAATGTCCTTTCTAACCTTATCAAATTCCTTAGTTTTGGTCACAGAACACAGTATATTTAACAACTTTCCAATTGATTAAAATAAATGTTCCTCCTTCACGTTCATCCTGGGAACGAATGTAATTAAAGAAATTAGGTCTCTGGGATGTATTTTTAAATAGCGGATTTCATATCCTAGCTGCAATTGGTAGGACACACTGCCACCTAGTGTACCCAATTGGCCTAACCCTGAACTAACAAGAAAAATTGGAGACAGGTTTAGGGGGATAGGGAGGTGGTTGGGTTGGACAAGGCAAAGACCTGTATAGTATCCCTGCTTACTTTGAGATTGCAAAGAAAAAGAAAACGGAAAATCACTATCATATTGTATTTTACATATTTTACGTTTTTTATTATATTTAGTCTTATTCTAGTAAAAGGTAAGGCAGCTTATATTTTAAAATACACTGTGTGGCATAACTGTATAATAGATATCGTTATTTTTCCATTTGTAGAAAAGTTGTAATTAACACAAAAAATAACTCACAAGAAATCAAGTTCCTTTCAAGCAGACCTACTACATAAATTAGCAGACATTTAAAAAACTGAATTTTATTGGCCCAGCTGGTGTGGCTCAGTGGATTGAGTGCTGGCCTGTGAACCAAAGGGTCACTGGTTCAATTCCTAGGCAGGACACATGCCTGGGTTGCAGGCCAGGTCCCCAGTTGGGGATGTGTGAGAGGCAAGCACACACTGATGTTTCTCTCCCTCTCTTTCTCCCTCCCTTTCCCCCTCTCTAAAAGTAAATAAATAAAATATTTTAAAAAATAAAAACATAAAAAACTGAATTTTATTGAACTGGTAAGGACATCACCCTTGTAGTAAGTATATATTTATTAACTATAGAAATTATAAGTGAAACAAAATTTCTACATTAGAATACACAAAATGGAAAAAAGAAAAATTATACTGTATTATAAATTAAGTTTAATTTAAACTAGAAAACAACAGAAAAGATATATTGTGATTAATACAGAAATGTACATATTACATAAACATATTCTACTCCATGGGTCAATCTTTGAGACTTAAAATTCTCTTTACTAAGCACCCATCTATTAAGAATAGTGTTAAAGCAAGAAGTTACCTTGTAGATTATGTTTAAATGTTTGAACTGCTAAGACCATTCTAAAGTGTAAAAGAAGCAGTCAATGTAACAGCTCCCAAAAAATTACCAAAGAAACTCTGGCCCTAGAAAATGTCTCTTCAAGAAAAATATCCGTAATTAAATCAATTTGCTTTATACATAATTTTCCAATTCTGAAAGTCACAATGCACTTCTAACACACTAAAAGATCTCAAAAGTGCCTCCTCTGTTAAGAAACTTGTTTAACTTCCTTTAACCGAACATTTTCCAAATACACGAACATCTTGAGGAATTAGTATTCAGCGTAATATCATAGAAATCATTGATTCCCTATGCTACTGAATCATCCCTGCAACTGTTCTCATTTAGTTTATACAACTTGTCATACTTGACACAAATACTGTGCACAAATCATTTGATTTTTTTTGCTAGTAGCCTTCAGAACTATTATCGTGCTTCCAAAAAATTATAAAAACGATACAGAAATTAAAATCTATGAAGATACACTAAAGTGAGACATTATCATATCAGACAATAAAATATACAGCACTGATCTGCAATCTTAATAATGCTTGAGTGTTACCTGGAAGGTAAGCAATAGCAATGGGTATCCTGAGAGATTTGATGTGAAGGGGTGGGAGGTGTGGGGAGTGCGGAATAGAGAGAGCTGGGGTAAGTAGATAGAAAAACAAAACAAAGAACAAAACAAAAATTCATCTAATGGTGAGTCAGTCAAAACTAAGAAATCATTCAGTACAATTATATTCTAAGTTGCCAATTTCTTCTATACAAACATGAAACTATAAATTTTAACTATTCACCAACTAGCAAAATTTTAAAAAGCCTTTAATAAACATAGATTCTCCCATTTATCAATTTCAATTCTGGCTTCAAATGAATCGGGGTGCAAAGCAGGGACCCCCCCCCAAAATACTCCCCACAACCTTAGGTTGGGGGATGGGGGAAGAGGATGATACCACAGTTAAAATACTTTTCATAACAATGGCAAGTTGATAGCTAGTTGATAGTTGTACAGCTGCCTAGGATAAAAGGCCTCCTCGGTGACATTCAGACCACGACTTTCTGTATAGTGACTCCTGATGTAGCTGGAAGCTCTTATAACACTTGCAGAGAGGCGGGAGCCAAAGACTTCTCTGTGTCACAGGGTACTCTTGCCCTGACTAAGGATGGCAGCCAAAAGGAAGTAAAAGATACATGGAAACTGGCAAAAGTAGTACATTGTCAGGGGCCAGATATGAGGTCACGGAGGAAGCTCTGGTTCGGCATTTAAAGTAAGGGCAGGCTGAGAGAGAGGAAAGGTAGTAGCCATGAGGTTTGACAGGGTGTAAAAGGGCCACCCCACTAGCCATGACATCAGTAGTGAGCAGCAGCTATGAGGTCTGAGATAGGAGGATGCAGCCATGAGAAAAACAGCCATGAGGAAGATGCCATGAAGTAAGGGGCTTCGGCCATGAGGTCTGGTGTGTAAGGAGGTACCACGTGGTTTGGAGTAAGGAGATGCCATGTGGTTTTGGATTAAGAGCTAGAGTAAGAAACAGGAGACCCACTGGGAAACCTGCCTGGAGAACAGAGTGGCAGAGCCAATGGAGCTGTGCAGGGACCTGCCTACCCAAGCACAGATTAGTGGGGGATGCCTGGAATGCTGAACTGTGACCAGAAATGCTGAGCCGAGGATTTCTGCTTTTTTGAAAGACAGTACCTGACTGGCATGTTCTGAAACTGGCCTGAGTTGGCAAAGGTGGACAGGATCATGTGTTTAGGTGTTTTAAACGGAGTGGGACTTAATGGCAGAAATCCACCATTATTCTGAATCTGTATAACATGTAAATAAACACCCTCTTTCCTTTTTCACTGAACTCTTGCCTTGGAAGTCATGCTTCTTGGCAGTGGGCAACTGAACCCCACAGCTGTTCCAGAACAGCATAGGCAGGGTTCTGTAATACAACCAACCAGATTAAAGAAAAACGATAGAAGAAACAGTTATCTCACAGAGGGACACCTCTCACAAATAAGTACAATCTTAATCACCTTTAATAGTCCATTGGTTCAAGTACAAGTTGAGTACCTACTGTCCTTCCATTTCATCACTGTCCTTAAGGTAACTATAACATAAAGCAGTAATTCATAGTTTGTAACCTGTCACTGTAACTTATTTAGAAAATATTAGAAAACACAATAAAAACTTTTTTCTTAATGTTACCTTATTCCCAATACATACTTTTAAAAGTTCATTAAGCAAATCATAAGATTATTCATGAAAACATGAAATTAATACTCATCATTTCAAAGAATGACCTTGAACATAAGCGCTTAATGTTCTTTTTACTTAATGCAGTGCTAGGATGTACTATTCCAATACTAATTACCTGTGCTTACACCACAAATGTAATCAAACAGCTGGTGAACTGGCTTCTGAGTAAGTTCAACTAATTTTCGTAGTGTCTGAAGAGCAACCAAACCCCTATAGAAAAGATAAAGGCAAATAAGAATTCCTATTTCAAGGAAAGTAAAGTTACTGAATAAAACAATCCTAACAATTGCTTTTCTAGCTTACATGCTAACACAAAAACTAATAATATAATTTAGCACCAGCAAAAGTTGCATAAGTTTTTAAGATGGCTTTTGAATATCCCATATCTAAATAATGGTACAAAACCTGTGCTATAGCTGCACATTTTAAAATTTATACTAGTATCTAGATCACAAAGATATGTCAATGAAGATTAAAAAAAAAAAAATCCTAACCATCCTGCCTGGGTAGCTCAGTCAGTCAGTGTCATCCCAGTTGAGAGTTCCATCCCTGGTCAGGGCACATACAGGAATCAACCAAGGAGTGCATAAGTAAGTGGAAAAACAAACTGATACCTCTCTCTCTCTCTCTTTCTAAAAATCAATACATAAAAATAATAATAAAGATGAAAAAATAAAAAATACTCCAATGGTAGAAAATACTTAAAAGCCTCCACTCACCCGTTTGGGGATGCCAAATACTGGTTTCTTCTCTTACCAATGCAGCTGGTCACCTATGTTTCTATACGGTTGTGTTTTACACAGTTCACTAGCCATATTTTTAAGCTTTTATTCATGTTTTAAAACTCTTAACAATCTTAGGGCAGTGCTCTACATTCAGGATTTATTTATTTATGCTACTGACTTCATTCATTTCTGGATCTTTGCCAAAGGCCACAAATAACTTCATAATGGACGTGAAAGATGAAAGAGTCTAGGAAGTGTAAGTCAATTCAAGGTGTGTGTGTGTGTAGGCAATTTCAGGGTGTGTATCTATAGACCAATTCAGGGTATGTGTGTAGGCCAATTCAGGGTGGATAATTCTTTTTTGAAAATTTCTCAATTTTTTTTTTCAATTATAGTTGACATACAATATTCTATTAGTTTCACGTATATAACAGAGTGATTAGACATTTATATAACATACAAAGTGATCACTCCTGTAAGTCTAGTAAACTATCTGGCACCATACATATTTATTACAACATCATTGACCTATTTCCTATGCTGTACTTTACATCTCCGTGACTATTTTGTAACTACCAATTTGTACTTCTAAATCCTTTTACCCTTTTCACCCATTCCTGCAACCTCCTCCTATCTGGCAACCATTAGTTTGTTCTCCGTATCTAAGAGTTTTTTTGGTGTGTTCATTTATTGTGTTTTTTAGATTGCACATTTAAGTGAAATCTTCTGATATTTGTCTTTGTCTGACTTACTTCACTTAGCATAATAACCTCTTGGAGGTAGAAAATTCTTAACACTGGGAGAATATACAGAAATAATGAAACATTATAATCCCAACACAAAGTATGGGGCAGAGAAGTCCTGGAACACAGCGGTAGTCAGACAACACGAAATAAAATTGAGTGCCAAACTGTACTCTGATACTGCTAACAGGAAGTCACCAGAAAATCAATGCTTAATGCTTAATGTTAATGTTAATGTTAACATAATGCTTATGTTTATCTTAATTATAAGAAGTAATGTGAATTTGAAGTGTTGAGAACATAAGATGGCTTATAAGAGAGCTATGCTATGAATTCAAGGTGAGACATGAAGAATTAAAGATAATGCTGGATAAAATATATTTAACAATGACCTTCATTACTTATAAAAATGAAATAAAACGTGCATATATATTCACAGGAAAATATCTGAATAAATCAAAATATTAAAAATAATCTTGAAATTCAGAGCTATGATTAGTTTTACTTTATAATTTTCCTTTTTTTTCCTCCCAGGTTTTACTTGTAAAATGAGAAAGAAAACTACTTGTAAATGCTACATTTAGAAATTAACTCAGGATAAATTTTAAAATAAATATACTTGCCAGGTTGGTTCTATATGTCCAACACTGTATCAGGCTTTCTTATGCAAAAGAAATAAAAGTTTAGAATTCTTTTCCTTAAAAACACTCTTATCTTACTCCTTTCAACACAAATTTCTCATTCTGGCTGCTCTGTCACATTCCCCTAAACCAAGGTTTCTTCCAACACCATTATTGACATTTTGGGGTGGATCATTATTTTAGAGGGCTATTCTATCCATTGTAGATACTCAGCAACAACTGTCTTCTCACTAAATCCAAGTGGCAGTCCCCTGGTTGTGACAACCAAAATGTCTCCAGACACAAATGTCTTCTGGGGGAAAAGATGTCTCCAGTGGAGAATCAATGATCCAATCCTACCTTCATCCTAACCCACCTCTAGGTTTTCCCAAATTATCTTCACTCCAATTTCCTATGACTTTCAAAACTCTCAATCTAGGATGTCAAATACTTATCGGCCATAAAGCTCTTTTCACCATTAGCTTCCTCACTCTAAACAGACATCTGAATGACTTTTAATGTTCTTATTTCCAATCTCCACCTAAAATGCTACTTCTTCAAAAAGAAGTCACAGTCATGCTCACTCTTTGAAATAGCACTGTTACTCTCTATCCCTTTTCCTTGCTTTTATTTTCTTCATAGCACCCATGACTCAATAATGTTTTTTTCTAGTTGCTGCCTCTTTCCTTCTCTAGAATAGCAGCATGATGAAGACTTGTATTTTGTCTGTTTTATTTACTGAGTCACACCAGGATCTAAATCAGTATTTAGAACATGGTAGGCACTTAATCAATACTCGTGAGTTGACTCAATGAATGATACCATCTCTCCCAACTCCCCTAACCTTAATGGCAGAGAGGACTGGCTTCTTCCTCCTCCTCAGTGAAATTCCTTACTCACTTAACTGCCACTGTCCCTGCTTCTTATCACCTGAAACCAATTCTGTGAATCTGAATGATTCTCTCCAATTTATCACATCAATGATGTCCACCTTCTTCCATTACTTCACTTCCCTAAGAACAATCCAAAAGGTCTTCTAAGACTTTTCTCTAAATTAATCCTATCTTCATTTACCAACTAAGCATTTCTATGTGGCAATGTGATGTCTTATATTCAACATATCCAAAACAGAACTCTTTCTCAGTATCAGTCACCTTCTGCCCATCCCTGTAATTCTGCCCTAGTCATCCACAGCATTTATACTTAAGAATGATCTTGGCCTATTTTTGTTATATCCAGTCCCCCTTTCTCTTCAAAAAAAATTTTTTTTGCATATTGTTCCTTTCTCTTGCTTCCTACTTGCCATCACCTGAGGTTAGTATGCTATTGTCATCTGCCAAGATTATTAAATAGCCTCCTCCTCTTGTCACTCACACTAAAGGATTTGGCTCACATGTATGACTATGGAATTTAACAAAAAAAAAAAAAAAAAAGGGTAGTACTTGAACATGCAGAAGAGTGGCAAAGCAGGTATACCAAAGAAGGAAGTTAGAGATATTAAATTAATCTAAGAACAACAGGCAATGCATGTACTATGAATCTAAGAGATAAAAGTAGAAATGGCAGGGAACTGGAACCCAAGATAGCAAATTTGGGAGAAATTTTCATAAAACCAAGTCAAAGAATCTAACTAATAAGTAAGGAACGAGACAAACTAAGACAGAATAAGAAGCATGGATGGACTCCCAGAATGGGGCTTGATGGTAGAATTATCTCCTTCTGAGCTAAGAATGCATTTAACAATTCTTGTGTAGCACCAGAACTGGCATCTGCAAGTGTTGGGGGTCAGGAAGTTACTGACATAGGCTCCTTTTATTACCATCAATTTACTAAATGAGTAGGTGACATATCGGTAAGATAAACGTAATAAAAGAAATCATATGTTATAGAACACTGCCAAGATTTTAAGAGAATCTTGGTTGATAAACTATCCAAAACTACCAAAATTGTCTGAAAAGACCAAACTAAAATATAAATACTAGGTTGAATAACAGGAAATTCAGATATGTTAAAGAGGTAAATGAAGAAAATCTATGTCATGTTTTATTTAAAAAATTTGATTTTGTAATGATATAATTACACCAAATTATTTCTTAAAAATTCCTAGGGCTGAATTGGAGTTACAGTTTTTAAAAATCATTTCTCCAGTCTTACCTTGTTCCTCCACCATCAATTGTAAGAATTCGAATCCCTCTTCCTTTCACTGGATCCACATAGCCAATTAAAGCCAAAATTTCTCTAACTGCAGCCTGAAGTGTTTCATCCTTTATTTGTCTCAATCGTAATAAATATGGAATAATTTTCTCCTATATTGAGAAAAAAGATTTTTTGTTACTTTTGTCAAATCAAAAGTGAAAATGTATAATTATTTGTCACCAACATGTATATACCATCATACACAATCAAGGTGCCAGTGTTTATTAAATACTTTTTTAGTAATCTTAAGTGATACATTAATGCTTGACATATTAATGTCAATTAATATCTAGAATATATTTGTTCTAATATCTAGGTCAAAAATTAACCTCCATCCAAATATTTCCTTTAAAGATGCAACACTTAACAGAGAAAATATAATTTGCTTAACACAAGTTTACAATGTTACAACAAAAGTTTAACATTATAAATTTTATACAGTATTTTGTCTAAATCCCAAAGTTAAGATGAAACTGCTTCATTGTAATTGGAAATTACTATCAAAAGAAAAAACCCATCTTGAGTACATTGAACATGGAACACAGGGTAGGTCACAGTGATATATGAACAAAAGTTAATTAATAAAGTTAAGTTAGAAGGCAAACGCTGACCTATTACAATTAAAAAGTGAAACGAACCTGGGCCTTCGAGATACAATGTGTCACAAACACCTAAGTCAATATTAAGAGGAAGAACAAAGTTAAAAGATTTGTGCTACCAGACATGAAATTTATTATAAAGTTACAATTTCAGCAGTAGAGTATTGGAGCAAGGATAAATATTCCAGTGGAACAGAATACAGTATTCAGAAACAGACCCATATATAATTACCTGATTTATGACAATTATGTGTCAGGTCAACTGGGTATGAGTATTTAAAAAAAAAAATCAGGACTCACACCATATAACCTAATCTATTCTAGATGAACAGCATATATATAGATGTGAAAAGTAAAACAATAAAGTTTTAGAAGAAAACACAGGAAAATCTCTTTTATGATCTCAGGATAGGCAAAGATATCTTAAAAAGGACACAAACACTAAACACAAAGGAGAATATTTATAAATTGACAATATTAAAATTAAGAATATTTGTTTGCCAAAAACCACTAGCAAGAATAAAAAGGTAACCCAGACTAGGAGAATGTATTTATAATAAATATAGGTATATATTGTATATACATATAATATATAGAAATATTTATATCTATTATATGTAAAGAGATTCTCCAAATCAGTAGGAAAAAGTTGGTCAACTCAACAGAAAACTGGAAGATGCACTTCACACAGTAAATATTCAAATGACCAATAAACACTGGAAAAGGTACTGAACTTCACTATTACCAGAAAAAAAAAATTAAAGCCACAACTCAGTATCACTAAACATCCAACAAAATGGCTAAAATAAAAAAGGGAATATAAAGTGTTGAAGAGGAAGAACAACTGGAAGGCTCATACAATTCTGATGAACGTATAAATTGGTATACACACTATGCAAAATTCTCAGGCAGTATCGCTGAAGACAAAAACATGCATAATCTATGACCAGGAATACCACTCTTGGGTATACACTCCAAATAAATGAAGACATATGTTTTCCAAAGGATACATTCCAGAAGCACTATTCCTAAATATTCCCAAACTGGAAACTATGCAAATGTCCATCAGCAGTAAAATGGATATACACATTGTGTTACGTCATACCACAGAATACACCACAATGAGAATGAATGTTCCACAACTATGCTCAATATAGAAGGTTCCAGCAAACATGTTTAGTATAAAAAAGAAACATAAAAAATCACATACTGTATTATTCCATTTATATAACATTTAGAAAAAGACACAATCTACACTGCTAGAAAACAGAAAAAAATGGTCAATCTTTTTGGAGAGAGTGATTAGAGGGGGGATAAAGAAGCTTTCGGAACACTGGTAACATTCTTTTCCTTTCACTGGGTGATGGTTTCATAGATGTGTACAATTTTTGAAAATTCATGGAGCTGTATACTTATACATACTTTTTCTATATATATATTTTTATAGTAATGTTTTAAACAGATACATAAATCAGCTTGAAGGGGAACCTACTAGTCAAAGTTGCGATAAATTCAGCTTTGAAAAAAAGAGAGAGGAAGAAAATAACAGGAAAAAAATTTACTGAAAACTATGAGTCCATAATGAGAGTAAAGAAAAAAATGCCCCAACTCATGTCACCATTGAGGCAGCTTTTGAAGCAACTCTTAACTTTGAAAATTGGTAAAAAGAAATGATTTCTCTTGCTTTTCCTGTAAAATTGATCTCTGAGACTAACCCAACAGCTTTAGCTAGTGAAGGAAAGCTCTACTTTGACAGAATAATATCAATTATAATGCAAAGGAATTACAGAATTAGAAATTTATTCTGCAACCCTAATGAAACAACCAGTTCTGGAAATAGGTTAATGGTTGATGAAATAATGGTTCCAGCTTAACTGTCCAATGAAAAGGTCAGATGGTCACCTCTGTAATCCAGTGGTCAGCTTTAGTCAGCATTATCAGTGGTTGTTCTACGAATTATGTGTTCTAATAGAATGTTATGAAGCATATAACATCAACTATAATTTATTCTGTTAAGAAAATATTTAACTCAGTCAAGCCTTTATATTTAAATTCCAGCATTCAGGAAATAAAAAAGGAAAGAGGAATATAGCAAGTAACACCAAGAAGAGAAAGCCAGGTAAACCCAGAAAGTTGAGCCTTTCTACAAGATAAACAGCCTGGTCTTTTCAACTAATCAGTTCTAATGGTGCAGGTAAGGAAGGACTATGTTATATTATATGAGATCTGTCCAGAAAAAGTGCACCCATTGTTAATATAATGAGAGCAGTTTGCACAACATCGATGTAACCTGGCAGCCAAGGAGAGTGGACTGGCATGTGTATGTGTGAACAATGATGACTTCACTGTACTAGTCAGCGGTGGCAGTACACACCGTTGAGTGAGCATGTGTACTGTGCGGCCACTGCATTCAAAATGACTGAGAGAAAAGAGCAATGAACCTGCATCGGATTTTGTGTCAAGCCTGAGCATTCCTCTGGGGAAACTATTTGGATGACTCAGAAGACTGTGGGGGGACGATGCAATGATTGCAGCACAAAGAAAAGTGTGGCACAAATGCTTCAAAGATGGTCAAGAATCTGTTGAAAGTGAACCACATTCTGGAAGGCCTACAAGCAGCAGAACACCTGAGAATGCTGAACATATAGGAGCTACAATCAACAAAGATGGGTGACTGACAGTGCGAGATCTAGAAGTAGATCTGGGGATTCCAAAAACTACTGTTTCTGAGATTTTGATGCATGATCTTGTCATGAAACATGTTGTGGCAAAATTCATTTCATAGCTACTGCTACCAGAGCAGAAGAAACATCATGCTGTAGCTGCTAATGACTTAATTCAAACCACTACCAACGAACCACATGTCCTCAAGAAGTTCACAACCAGAGATGAATTGTGGGCCTACTGCTATGATACAGAAATGAAGGCCCACTCATTCCAATAGAAGTCACCTGGTTCTCTGTGCCTGAAGAGGGTACAATGAAGTTGCGGCAAGATCAAGACCATGTTAACTTTGTTTTTTTGATTGGGAAGGTGTTGTCTATCACAAGTATGTCCTTCAAGGCTGAACAATTAATAAGGAATACTATACCTCAATGTTCTTTTTCCAGTCCATTTGAGACATGCAGTATGTTGAAAATGGCCACAACTATGGGCAACTGGTGATTGGCAGCTTCATCACAACAACGTGTCTGTGCATGCAACATGTCTTGCACAGTTTTTTGGTGTAACATCTTTTCACCCAGGTGACCTGGCCAACCTACAAGCCCAGATTTGGCACCCTGTGACTTCTGGCTTTTTCCAAAATTAAAACTGTCTTTGAAAACGAAGAGATTTCAGATGATTGATGAGATTAAGGAAAATACTATGGGACTGCTGACGCGATTCCAACAAAGGATTTCGCAGTGTTTTGAATAGTAGAAGAGATGCTCGGAGAACTGTGTGAGGTCCTAAGGTGCCTACTTTGAAGGGGACTGAGGTGTCATTGTCCTATGTACAGTGCTTCTTTTATCTTCTTTTATAAACATCTCTATTTTTCATAGTACACTGCTGGATACTTTCTGGACAGACCCCATAAGTGACTTAGGGAAAATAACCAGATAAAATGTATGGTCTAAACTGGAACCTCATTTAGACCCAATCAGTAATATAAAGAACATTTTGAACTGGGTATAGGACGAGATGAAAATTTACTGGTACAGAAAGGTATGCAATGCAAACTGAACCAAACAGGTTATAAAACAGTATATATACAATGAGTTTATTTTGATATATATGTAGAACAATTGCTAGAGGAATATTGTGTAGACAATTGGTAGAGGAATTGGTAGACAATTACCAATTGTCAGTTCACTTCCCTTTCTAGGACTACAAAGACAAATATTTTTCAGGCCGGTAAAACTGGGCAGGACAAATAGGTTTTGAGTAAAACAAAATTGTAGTACTTTCTGCTGAAATACTCTTACCCTGATATAGAAAAGATGGAGGAGGCCTCATAGTGAGATATAAAGAAACAGGATCAAAGTAACCAATACATGGAAGTATACTTTCTTGTAGTCACCCAGAATCACAGTTGACTTTGCATGAGTAACAAATAAACTGTGTTAAGCTGCTGAGAGTTTGGTATTGTTTGTTATTAGAGCTTAACTCACCTCAATCTAGTTAATACAAATAGATACTAATACTTTAATAATAATAGTAATCTTGGGATAGTAGAAATATGTTTTTATTTTCCTAATTTTGCTTTTCTCTAAAAACTGTCTACAATGTCCATGTGCTGTCTTTTTAAAAAAATAAAAGGTTTTTTTAATTTAAAAAATAGTTAAGGGATATCACCTTCACCACCAACAATGAAAAAAATCACCAAAGATAATTTCCTAGATATGGCTGCCATGGTACAGTACCCAAAATGAATATACATAAAAGAAATTAGCTTCTTTTAGAGCATTAGATACAAAAGACAATTGCCTAGATTTGGCCATCATAAATATGGTACACGCACACAAATAAAACTCATATAGATGTTTTATAAACAATTATAACTTTTTTAAACAGCTCAATTCGTGCTGATAATTAAAAATTTAGTCAGGAAAGGTCACATGAAAGTGTACATGCTAACATGTCCTAAGCAATTCATCAAGTTCATTGTTATTGAGATGCTTATTATTTAGGAGGAGTGAAGACTTTCTTTAGATTACCTACATTTTTATTCATAGCCGATCTGACTATACATTCCTATATCACATTTCTCCTTTGCATTGAAGGGTCCTTAGATTTGGGAGCAGTTATGCAAAATAAGAGTCCTCAAAATTTCAATTAGCAAGACTATTCACAATAGACTAAAACTGAAACTAATCAGAAATCCATCAACAGTGCAATGAATAAACTGTGATATATTCAAACCATGAAATATAAAAGCAATAATGAATAAATGATATACAATTAGCCACAAAAATATGAGTGATTTCTTCTAAGAAGCCAATCACAGTATTCCATATAATATACAACATCAGGGAAAACTAACCTGTGATCACTGTTTAGGAGACTGTGATTGGCAGCACAAGGCAAGCTTCCGAAGCACTGGTCAAATTAATTCTTCAACCAGGTGTCAGTTACATGGATGTGTTTAGTTTCTGAAAATTCACTGAACTTTATATTCACAACTAACTTCAATAAAATGTTTTTAAAGAGTTCTTTAAAATATGAAACTCTAGATCTCTGCTTTCAGTATATCACTGAAAATGTTAAGTAGATTTAAATGACTACATTTAGAAAATTTATCTTTTAAGTAAGAGATTATATCTATATGAAAGATAATTCCAAATTTATGAACATGAAAATATAGCTATTATAATGTAAACTTACATTATTCAAAGACTTAATTTTTCAGCAAAGATGGCTGACAAAAAGTTGAATATGAACTAAACTAACTTAAAATTTTCTGAATGTTAAGTTAAAAATAAGCCCTACAGACTTCTAATGAAATGTTAACGCTATCTATTCATTATATTTACAAATAATCCTAGTACAGATACACAGAAACTCAGCCACAGCACTCATATTTTATACTATTGTTTTGAAAACATTCTATTTAAATGGGTGTAAATTATCTTGACTATTTTATATCTGAAAAAACTCAGGCAAAGAAAAACTAATATACTGAGATTTATCTTCCATTTTAAAATGTTTAATTTTAAAGTACAGATATCATTACTAACAGCACAATTTATATCATAGAATAAAAGGGAACATTTAGGATAATGTATATCATAGAATAAACAGGGCAATTTACTGAATATCACACATCACATGTATGATATAAACCACAAAAATATTTAAATAAAATAATGAAAGGCACTGCCTTCTCCATTTTAGAAGGTTTATCAGTATTTTTATTCCACAACAAAACCAGATTAGGAACATTAAAATTACCTTGACAGCCACTCCTTTTCCTTCAGGAAATTCAAGAAGATGAAAAGTTAGTTCTTCAACCCTATTAATGCAGAGTTTTGGGTCAGTTGTTCTTCTTAATGCCTGAACTAATGCCCGGGTTCTGTTATCAATACTCACTCTTGCAATAATCTACAAAGACATATTAAAATATACGATTACAGTATGAAACAGCTCTAGTAATACTAACAAACAGTTAAAGTTCCGAATGTCCCATAAGGAAACAAAACATTTGGCAAAACTTAAAACCATTGTAATAACTACTTGCCTTTTCTCGCTGAAGAGATAAACGCTTTTTTTCCTCTGCATTTTTGTCTTTGCTGACAGCCTGCTCAGCTTTGGTGGCTTCTTCCTGTTCTTCTGACTGACTCTTTGAATCATACTTTAATTTGGGGACAAGTCCACCAATATAACCACCTACTAAAGCTTGAACACCTTCAGTGGGGCGAGAAAGAAAGTTAGCAATACTTTGTTTAGTAGAAACAGGAAGAACCTCAGGTGTGCCGCTGGGACTTTCAGGCTTGTCCACAGCACATGAAGAAGGTTCTGAGCCTCGCTTCTTATCAGTCTGCACCCCAGGATCTGGAGAACTAGATTTCTCTTCTTCAACCTTTTTATCTTCAAGTTTTGATTTGTCCTGGAAATGTTTGTTTTCCTTTTTTTGAGACATTTTTTCTTCACGTTTGAAGTATGAATTAATATGACTGGATAAAAAGTAGAATGACTCTCCAAATTTTGTGGTTATACTATTTGTGTAATGAGAAACACTTTGTTTACCAATATCTTCTTCTTTATCTATAATGTGACTTTGCTTTTCTGGAACAGAACTCTTTTCTGCTGATTTGTCACTATGGTTTTTTAGAGATTTGATGATTTGTTTAATGTTTTGCTGTTTTAACCAGCCACCATCTGATACTTTTCTTAATGTTTTAGAACTTGGCTTAAATTGCGCTAAACGTGAGATCATTTCATTCTGATTTCCAAAAAGAGCCTTTGAAACAGAGTTCAAAGTACTTTTAATACGGGACATACGAATGCTCACTTTTGTAAGTCCCTTGGGAGCAGAAGTGCTGAGTTTCAAAATTCCAATATGTAAACCATTGTTGCTTGGAGAGTAACAGTGTTTACTGCAAGAATAGGCTTCACTTCTGATCCATTTACATCTTATTTTGCTTGTATGAAAACCTCTTTGTAGACTGATGTGGCTTATCTTCCAGGAATATTTAGGTGAGCACAAGAAATGGAGTTGCTTGCTTTTCTGCTTCCCACAAAGACTTCGTGCATTACTAAGGAGGTAAATATATATATCTATAGTCAAATTAATAGACATAACTTAGAAATCACTTTTCTATTTGTTATGACTTTCACTTCATTCCTGAATGCTTCATTTAAGAAATGCCATATTTCATGGTCTTACCTGAAATGGCAAGGAAAAAAAATTAGGATTCAAGGTAAAATTGAAATTGGGTATAAGAAAAATACATTAATTACTACATGAACTAAACTCAGAAACTTGTCTCAAGAAAAAGAATAATATATTCCATTATGGTTGATACAGGTTTCACTTTAAAGATAATAGAAAATAATTCATCTTTCAGTACAGAAGCCAATGGAAAAAATAGTAGGATGTTTCATGAGCACTACTTAGAGAAGCTACTCAACAGATAAGTTTTTATACAACACTTAATTGAATGTGCATTTTAGATGCTATGCTGTTTTTCTTCCTTGTTAAAGTCTTGACAAGTTTATGTGATGCTAGATTTTATGTTCTTTGAAGACAAGAGTCAGGCTGTATAATTCATTCATGGCAAATCATTTATAGAATATTTAATCTATACTACATGTTGCTAGATGCTGAGGACACAAAGACAAACAGGATACTAAGGAACTTTGAGTTTACGGCTAGAGGTAGATACGTAAAGAAAAATCTCACTATCTAGTAATAAGTTCTTACTAAATTAAAAAAGTCAGACTAGCCCTAGTTGGTGTGGTTGAGTGGATTTAGTGCCAGCCTGCAAAACAAGGAGTCACTGGTTCGATTCCCAATCAGAGCACATAACTGGGTTGCAGACCAGGTCCCCAGTGGTGGGGATGCGAGAGGCAACCACACGCTGATGTTTCTCTCCCTTGCTTTCTCCCTCCCTTCCCCTCTAAAAATACTTAATAAAATCTTTAAAAAAAGGAAGTCAGACTAGCAGAAGCTATGTGCAACATCTAACAGCTGAGGGGTTCATAACCACAATATAAAAAGAACACACATAAGTAAAAAAAAGGAAAGAATAATCCAATAGAAAAACAGGGAAAGAACAGGCCAGTCACAGATGATTAAATACAAACAAAAAAATCATGAAAGTATCTTTGCATCAATGAAAAATGCCAATTAAAATAATTTTGTTCTTGCAATTGGTAAAAATTTAAATGACTGATAATATCCAGTATTAATAAGGGGCTGGGGAAATGGGACACAGAGAGCTCTTTGACAGTATCTAATGAAATATTAAATGCTATCTATCAAATTTTAAAGGCACATATTTTTTAATCAGCAATTCCCCTCTTCAGAATTGCTTGCATAATAGTGCAAAGGTTACACACAATCCCTGCTGCACTGCTGGAAATATCAAAACACTGAAAAACAAATCTAAATTTCTTCTGGCAAGGGACTGTTAAATAAATTATGGTACATACATACAATGGAATGAGTTACCACCAGTTAAAGAGAACCAGATGATCTGTGCATACTGACATATCCTTCATACAGAGTACAGTAAAAGGCAATTTGCAATACTGTATGTAGTATACACACATGAAGACATAAATGTAGATATATAGATACGTAATAAATGGAAACAAAAGCCTACATATGTAGTTTAAAGACGTGTCTACACACACACACACACACACACACACAGAGGCTGATTGATTCTGAAAGGATAAGCATCAGTTTATTCCTTTGAACTGAGGAATGGGATCAAAAGACATTAGAAGGACTTTTACTTTTTATTTTACTTTTGTAATCAGAAAAAGCAAACAGTTTAAAGCACTTTAATAGATGGTGCCTTGTGAATGGAAGACACAAAGTGAGAGTAAACATCCAGCTAAGTATGAAAAAAGATGCTAAAAACTGGGCAAAATTAAAATGTATCATCATGGGATAAAGATAAGAAGGGAAGGAGAGAATTCTAACTAATGGAAAAAAATAAGCACAAACAAAACAAAAAGCATTTAAGAGAGCAAACACTACATGAACAAAAACAGCAAGTAGTCTAGTTTTGCTCCAGGATGATGAGAGAATGATGATAAGAGGTAGACGATAGTGAAAAGGCAGTTTGGACCACATAAAGCGTCTTACAAATCTTGCTAAGGTGATTAAAAATCAAACTGTCAATAAAGTATTTTAAGCAAAGGAATCACATTAAGTGATGATTCTAGCACATCTCTGACAAAAATGAAGTAATGGGACAAGGATGAAAGACAGAAACCAAGAACCTAGTGACTGTTCAGAAGATGGCAGTCTGAACTAAAATCTTTCTAAATTGCATGTGAGCATATTAAAATACCCAATTTTACAGTGGGGAGGAGAGAAAGAATCAAACCTATCCACCTTCCTGGCTCTTCTGAGCTCCTCAGGACTTGCAGTCAATGTAGTAAGCTGAATTAACAGAAAAGCTCTAAAATCCCCAACACAGAAATATTTGATAAAATACAATTATAATTATAGTACTTGTGGATAAAAAGCCATTCTCAAAACCAATAATGGACTCCTACAACTCAACAACAAACAACAATCCAATCAGAACACAGGCAAAGAACTTGAATAGACTTTTCTCCAAAGATAATATACAAATGGCCAACAGGCTTATGAAAAGATGCTCAACATCAGAGAAATGCAAATCAAAACCAAATCATATACTACCTGATTAAGATGGCTATTATCACAATAAATAAATAACAAGTGTTGGCGGAGATGTTGAAAAGTTGGAACCCTTGAGCACTGTTGGTGGAAACAAAACGGTGTGGCAGCTATAAAAGACAATATGGTGGTCCCTCAAAATATTATTAAAATGGAACTACTATTTGATCTAGGAATCCTACTTCTGGGTATATAACCAAAGGAACTGAAAGCAGGGTCTCAAAGAGATTATTTGCACACCTATGTTCATAGCAGCACTATTCACAATTACAGAGGTGGAAACAACCCATGTTTATGGACAGATAAACAGATAAACAAAACATGGCAAAGAAATACAACACTATGCAGACTTAAAGAAGAAAATCTCATCACATGCTACAACATGGATGAACCTTTAGGACATTATTTTAAGTGAAATAAACTAGTCACAAAAGGACAAATACTGGTCAAATTCAGATACAGAAAGTAGAATGGTGGTTATAAGGGATTTGGGGAATAGGGTAAAGAGCAGCTGTTATTTCATAGGTCAGAGTTTCAGTTTTCCAGATAAAAAAAGTCTGGAGATGTTTTACAACAAGGTGAATGAACTTAATGCCACTGAACTACATGATATGAATGGTTCAGATGGTAAATTTTATATCTGTTTTTTAACACACACACACACACACACACACAGAGTGGGAAATACACAGGTGAAGAGGAATCACAGACCTAGATCTGCAGTCACATTACCTTGATGGTACAGAGACCCTACGCAAATGAAAACTAGCCAGAGCTAGAGGAAGTCAACTAAAATTAATATTTAAAAACACTTCCAAAGCTCAAGGCAAAGGTACTCCCACACTAGGTCACCATCACTGAAGTTTAACTCATAAAGATTACAGAACAGGCAAAGAAATAAATCATCACTTTGAATCAAAATGCAAAATGTGTAACCAGGATTTAGAAATAATAGAAAAAATTAAGTAAATTTACAACACCAATGATAAAACAGAAGGAACAAATATAAGGAGACAAGAAAGACCTGCACAAAGAGTGAACAGAAAGAACAAATTTCTGAAATGACAATTTCAGTTACGTGCTAGTTACTAGACATACCTATACCATAATGACAAAGAGCAATTGAAACTAATGGAATATGGAAAATGATATACTATGCATGTACTAACCAAAAGAAAGCAAAAAAGTAAGGCAAATTTAAGGTAAAAATCATTAAGTATGGATAAAAAAGGGATACTATAAAATAGTTAAAGGAACAATCCATTTATTTATTAAATCTCAGGTAGTCTTTTAGGCCTTAAAGAACAATACAAGCTATTACCAAATAAATATCAGGTGGAGAAGTGCCATAATGAAAAATAATATAGAATATAAATATAGAAAAAATAATACAGAATACAGAAAAAATATAGACTATAACATATAATATCAGGTAGAGAAGTGCCATAATGAAAAATAAAGGTGGGGGTTGGAGAGGAAAGGCACAGAGAGTGTTATTTAAGTTGAGGTGGTCAGGAGAAGAATTGACTTGATGTTTTATTGGAAACCTGAATGAAGTGAGGAAGCAAATTATTGAAAGTGTCTGGGGAAAAAAAGCATTCAAGGCAGAGGAAAAAGCAACCAAACCTTTGGAGACAGGAATGAGCTTTGTCTGTTCAGGAATTCCAAGAACAAAAGTTGGTTGAAGGGAAGTAAGAAGCAGGAAAAATGGTAGAGATGGGCCCAAGGGTCAAGCAGAAGACAGAACTACATAAGCCCAGACTACAGTAAGAGGTCTGAATTGTGTCTTTCCAATAGGATATAACCCTCATGACCAATTATAAAAATACCTATCAACCTGGCATTAAAATATAGTATAGAAAGCAGAAAAAAAAGGGGGGGGCAATTACAGGAAGACTAGACAATTTCATATTCATAATATTTTAATACACCTCTCTAGAAATGACAATTGTCAAGAATAATTACTAAACATGTTAGAAAGAGGAAGTCTTCCAAGGAAACAAAAAAGCAAAGGAGAAAAGATAGTCCCAAAAAAGATCAGAGCAATGAAACCAATACAATAACAAGTTCTAAAAACTGATGGATAATGAACAAAGTAAAATATAAGAAACGGGAAAGGTGAGAACTAAGACATAAGGGGACAGGACGGTGTCTAGACCTAACAGTTCTAACTCTGACATTTTCATAAATATATGTTACACAAGTGACGCAATATGTACCTTCAGCACAATTCCTCTCTCAAGGACTGAGCCAAAAAAACAAGTCGAAGTACAAGCTGTACTTTTAACTTTGCATGTGAGTTAAATACATAAACTAGTGAAACTGATCCTTTTACTCAACATCACTCATTAAAAGGATATTGCTGTCAAGATTTTAATTTACATCTCACATAGAACTGGAAAAATATCACCATTAAGGAAAAATGGATTAATAAAAATTACGAAATCAGAACATGTTCTTATATTGAAAGTATACTACTAATCTGCAAGAGCAGTTCAACAAAATTACTATAATAGGCTTGAAACAACTGCCTTATAGACATAAACTCTAAAAATGCTGTTTTAAAATTCTTAATAATACACTGTTTTAACAGCATTTTCTCGATACACTGAAACACTTTTGTCACTTTTGAAACCTCAACAATTAGGACGGTAAAACCAGGATGCAACTGTTACTGAAAGTTAAAACACTGCTTTAAACAGGATTATATGACAGTCCCTAATGCCAAATCTCTAAGTTTTTCCTAGGAGTCACCACTTTTCTTTAACATGATCATTGTATTAAGCATAGAAACCAGGTTCCTCCCAACAAGGAAGAAATGACAATGATAGCAAGCACTGCAACATAATGATTCACAGTATCACCTTTTAATAGCACACAACTGAATCTGCACAAGCAACAGTTAGGGATAGGGTTAAATGCGGGTGGGGTTAAAAAGTAGTCGCTGACAAATACCGAGCAAAGGAGTGACCCCGTGCGATGACATTCAAGAATGCTGTAGAATAGGAAAACCGTTTGACAGTCACCGGGGAAATGCTGGAAAACCCTACCGTCGGGGGAAGCCAAACAGACTCAGGGTAACTAGGTTAGGAGTTGTGGGGGTGGAGCAGGAAGCGCGGGGAGGGACCAGAGAAATCAAAACAATTTGCTGGGAGGGACCAGAGAAATCAAAACAATTTGCACATCTGAGACAGCAAAACCCACGGGGGTGACAGGGGCGGAGGGCACTGCGCACCAAAGAGCCCCAGCACTCGCGAGCTCCTTCTGTAGTCTGGTCGCGTTTTGGAGCCTAGGTCCTGGGGCCTCCGGCAAGCTGGGAGTCTCTCCGCCCTCTGCCTGGAAGCGTCCTCCAAGGAGAGATCAGGAGACCGGGCCTACCAGGCTTCCAACTTCCGCCTCTGTCCGCCAGCGGCCACTTACCCTGATGCAGGCCGCAACTACTACCGCGGCAGGGGCGACGTGCCTCTTCCTGGCACCTACATCCACTCCAGCCGGCCTGCATCAGCTGAGCTTCCAACCCTAGCCGAAGACGAGCGACTAGCCAGGAGCGACCTCCTCCCCAGCTCCGCCCCGCCCCAGCGGAAGTGACGTACACGCGGTCCGCGTCTACCCGTCCGTGCCGGTGGACCTGGCCCCGCCACCCAGTCAGTCACCCCATTTCCCCCGCCTCAAAACATGCGCAATAGAGCAGAACTGAGCGCGAGGAGAGAGGCGTGCGTGCGGGCACGCTCCTGCTTGCGCCTGGAACGCAGCCGCTTGGGGGCGGGCGAAGCAGGTGGTTTTCTTCTCCTCAGTTCTTTCTGGGTCTTCATTCTTTGTCAGTTGAGCTCAGCGTAGGTCTCCACGTTCCTCGGAGCAAGAGCCCGAGCCTCTACCCCTTAGCTGTCACCATTCCTGGGCTTGGCCACCAGAGTAAATATCATTGGAAAGCAAATTAACATATATTACCTCGTTGGAAGTTAGCCTTATACTCAAATTATGACATTTTAAGCGTACCAGGTCAGCAAACTATAGATAGCCCATCCTCTGTTTTTGAGTATCTGTGAGCTAAGAATGGTTTTTACATTTTTTTCAATGGTTAAAAAAAGATGTTTTGGGACACGTGACAATGACATGAAATTCAAATTTCGGTGTCCATAAATAAGGTATTATTAGAACCCAGCCATGCCCATTCTTTTTACATATCAAGCAGCTTTCGTGCTACAGCAGCACATTTGGGTAGTTACAACAGCTTCCCTTACTCTCTTGAATTGAACTAGCAAGTAAGTTGAGGTTAGGAAACAGGAAAGTGTCATTACTGTACCTCAAACTCAAAATGTTGCCAAGGCTGTTACTCTCTCCCCTTAGGCTCACCAGTACTCACACGGGTATTAAACTTTAGCTCCCATGTAAAACTACTGTAAAGTCTTTTAGGAAGGAATTGTAATAAGCTGCCAAACACTGTGGGTACTAGATGGACATTATTATCGTTATTCTCTTATTAAGATGAGAAAGCCAGCTTGCTAGACTCTTGGGGCACAAATGGATGGATTGTGTACATCATAATGGCTGGTATACCCCTGCAGTACATAATTCAGACATGTTATTTAGCTATACAATAGTTAAAAGATACATGTACAAATTAAACTTTGCAGGCATATGGAGATATCTTTAGTTTTGGAGAAATGTTTCTCCCTATTGTTAAAGGAAAAAAATATTCTTATACTTGTTAAAATAATTAGGAAGACTTTATTTAGGACTATTGCTGTAGGTGTCAAGACTACTGTAATAAGGGAGACAGATTGGCCTCAACCATGAATATGACAAAGACAGACGGAGATATATAGCCCAAGAGCAGAGGGAAAGAAGTCAGTGGGTGGAAAATTACTGAGAGGGGACATTAAGGGAGGTGTTGGTTCTTGCTAAACTGTCTTTACAGGATTCTTGCTCAAGATAGACCAGTGTGATGACTATTAAAGGTGAGAAATTTGATCAAATACCAAGGATGATAAGATCTCAAGGGTGGGAGATTCTGTCTAAACTGACTAAACAGAATTCTTGCTAGACCTGGACTTGGCAGGCCAAAGACAGGGCCCAGACAGGAAGCCTAAGGAAGAAGAGAGCTTAGAGAAACCTAATGAAAGTTCGATCAAGGGGAAAGTGTTTGCCACCATTGATTCACCCCATTTTTCTTTATTCCCCAATTTAGCCGGCCATTATTAAATATTTAGATTTATATTTACCATGTCAGAAATTTTCAAAAACGTCAAATCCTCTTCTGCTTTTAATGTTCATTTTCCTCCCTTGCCCTTCCCTCCTTTCCCTTTTGCACATCCATACCTTTAACAGTCATGAAGTCTGATGATTCTTCAAAATCTCTCCACTGTTCTGCATTGTCATTTCTGCTACTTTAGTTTAGGCTTTCATCCCTACAACCCCATCTCTTTTTTTTTAATGTTAAATTTGAATTGTACTTTTTAAAATTGAAGTAAAGTTGACATAACATTTTATTATTTTCAGGTATACAATACAATGGTTCCATATTTGTATATATTGCAAAATGATCACCTAAATAATTCCAGTTAACATCCATCACCATGAGTTGTATAATATTACAGTCATGTGCCATATAACAATGTTCTGGTCAACAATGGATTGCATATACAATGGTGGTATATCATATAGCTTAGGTATGCATTGGGTGGGCCAAAATTCGTTTGTGTTTTTTTTTTTTTGTAAGATGGCTTTAGTAGTGCTTATTTGTTTTTAACTTCATTCAGAACAGTTTTGTTAGATTGTACTGTGTCAGCTATCATATCAGCATGCATTTAAAAAAACTTAATCAAAATAGGTGAATTTTTGTGTAGCTATTTTAATATTGAAAATGGAAATAGCACAACATTTTTGGTGCATCATGCTTTATTATTTCAAGAAAGGTAAAAACACAACTGAAATGCAACAAAAGATTTGTGCAGTGTATGGAGAAGGTGCTGTGACTGATCGAACATGTCGAAAGTGGCTTGTAAAGTTTCATGTTGGAGGTTTCTCGCTGGATGATGCTCCTTGGTCTGGTAGACTGGTGTAAGTTGATAGCGACCAAATCAAGACATTAGTTGAGAATAATTAACATTATACCATGTGGGAGATAGCAGACATACTCAAAATACCCAAATCAATAAAGTTATTAGTGAAAGTGGAAAACGTATCTTTTATTGTACAGATAAAACCATAGAGACATTTTGGCCAACCCAATAGTAGAATCTACCAGCTAGGTTTGCATAAGTACACTCTACAATGCTCACACAACAATCTAGTTGCCTAACAACACATTTCTCAGAATGTATCCCTGTTTTTGTCTAATCTGGCTTTCCAGTCTGTAACTGACCCGCAACTCAGTCATTTTCTTCTGTGTAGCTAACAAAATCTTTCTAAAGTGCAAATTTAATCACACATTTTCCTTGATTAAAAAGGTTTTGCTGGAGCTTTCTCTCCATAGAATGAAATGCATGGCAGAATAGGTTCTGACCCTGCCAACCTTCCAGCCTTAATTTCACCAACTTGCTCCTTGCTCTTTATCCTCTAACCATACCTAAAGTTTCCCAAATACCTTGTTCTTTTTTGTGATTCAGTGCTTTGGCTCATGCCTCCTTCAACTAGGAAAGCCTGTAAAACTAAACATACTCTTACCTCCAGCAATAGTGATCCTTGTGTGGACCCAAAAAAGTCAAAAACTTATATTCATACAAAAACCTAGACACAGATGTTTATAGCAGCTTTATTCATAATTGCCAAACTTGGAAGCAACTGAGATGTCCTCCAGGAGGTGAGTGTATAAATAAACAGTGATACTTCCAGACAATGGAATATTATTAAGCACTGAAAAGAAATGAGTTTCAAGCCATGGCAGAATCTTAAATGCTTATTACTAATTGAAAGAGACAAATCTGAAAAGACTATGTAACTGTATCATCTCAATTATATCACATTCTGGAAAAAGGCAAACCTGTGGGGACAGTAAAGAGATTAGTATTAGTTAGGAGCTGAGATGTCAGGGATAGGGTGAATAGGTGGAGCCCAAAGGATTTTTAGGGCAGTGAAAATACTTGGTATGATACTACAATGATGGATACATGTCATTAAACATTTGTCTAGACCCACAGAATGTACAACACCAAAAGTAAACCCCAAAGTAAACTATGGACTTTGGGGTATTTTGATGCATCAATGTAGATTCACTGATTGTAACAAATGTACCATTCTAGTGGGGGATGTTGAGAATAGGGGAGACTATGTATGTGTGGGAGCAGAGAGTGTATGGGAAATTTCCGTACTGTTCTCTCAGTTTTTCTGTGAACCAAAAACCTACTGAAAAACATTGCCTTCAAAAATAGGGGGGGACAAAACACCCCGCAGGGAAGCCTTATCTTACTACTCTATAGAGTAAATCATTCCTTCCATTTCTTATTGCTTCTCTTAGTGCTCTGTCTGCACCGTATTGTAATTTATTCATTTTGGTGCCTGTGAATTTCCTATAGGCAGGGAGAATAACATAACTATATTCATATCTTCTTGATCTAGCATAAATACCCAGCAAATAGTAGGTGCTCTAAAATTCTATATTGTTGAATTTTAATTTTATTCTAGATTGCTAGTTAAGTTGAAATAGAAAATAAAACCCACTTGTTATTCTTTTGATACTGGAAAAAGTTTTAAGAGAAAAGTAAATTTCAGTTAATTTCAAACAAAATAAATTCAGTAGTGTGTAAAATAGGATATTATCTTGTTTTTAATAGCAGATTAATAATACTTAATAGCCTTTATGAAACATCATACTTATAATACTGTTAAATACAGTTGTTGTTCAACCTTATTATATTCTTTTGATACTAAGCCAAATAGATAACCACATTGTTCTTTTATCATTTACTTGTTGTTTTTATTCCAGTTACACAGTCTATTTTAGATCTTTCCCTCCTCTAAACCTTTAGTCAACCTCTCTTTCAATTAACTATTAAGGTCTGGCTCATAATTAAGTTCTCCATAAAAAACTTCTAGTCTTTTTATTGTTCAAACTTAATGCTATACCAAAAATAAATTTAGTCATATCACTGCAAGATATTTTTTAAAATCACCCAAATGAAGGATAGGCCAGGGAATAATTCAAGAAGAATAGTTATTGTGGTAAATAGAATGATGGCCTTCTTAAGAAATGTCCATGCCCTAATCCCTGACCTGGTGAATATGTCATGCTACATGGAAAAAGGGACATTGCAGGAAGCGCTGCATGGGGCGCTCCTGGACCTGAGGGTCAGTGTCCAGAGCCAGCTGAGGAGGGATTGGGGCTTTGAATCCCTTAGAGCCCGTCCTGGGGTTGTCACGGACATGGGGAATAAATACGAGTCGTTGCAAACAATTCTCTGTTTGCCAGGAG